TATCAAATATTCAGCCAAGATTTAACTCTTCATAGAAAACAAGCATATTCATCCCATTAGTAACTAAACTTGCTTTTTCCTTAATAGATACTAAAATTATATGTGTGAATATATATTGTAATTAACACATATCACACACTTATACAAATACATTTCCTTATATTTATTTTAGTAAATACTTGGAGTCTATGCCTTTTCCTATACCTATACCTAAGGTCATGCAAAAATCCCTCAAGCAAAAAGGGATGAGGAGGGAGAGATGTGTAAGGCTGCCCTTGTGCTGTCTTCTGCAGTCCTGGTGAGAACTCCACCAATGTAGCACATCAGCAATCCTACTTCAAGTCTGTGGGAACAGCAGCTCCGAGGGATGCTACAACGTATCTATCCTAGGATGAGGTTTGAACCCTGGTTGTTCCGATTGCCCCACTCCTGCTGTGGAAGTAATGCTGGCCCAACCAGGCTACCCACTTGCCCCTAGCTGAAGATAGCGACCAGCAATCTCCAAGGATTCTCCATGCTCAGTATGGCATGGCAGAATAAGTCTTTCCTCTAGCACCTCTTCTGAGTCATGCCTTAACACATTCCCTACTCATCTTTACTGAGCCACAAGTCAAAAACAATAGTAGCTGTCTTAGAGCAACTAAAGACTAGTTTTGCTTGGAAGTTGGGAAATAATTCCTCTTCATAAATCTGGAGGACTCAAGAATCTAAGGGTACTCCAAGGCTCCACCTACATTATCGCTCTTGGTGCAAACCTCCAAACAGGAGGTCCCAGTGATTTGGTAATTCCACCAGAAATCCCCAAATGACCACATTTCAATGAGGAAGTGAGGGAAAAGGCCTTTGGCTTGGGAATAGGTCCAGATCTAGCACAGACCCTAGGCATGGTCAATGCCTTCTAGGTCAGCTCCCTTCACTGGTCAAACTCTAACCCATTATTAACCCTCAAGTACTGCCATAGTCCCCAAAACTCCAAAACTACCCTAAGGGCTGCAGCTTTGTCCAGGATGCCCACCAATTGGCTAGGGGCCCCTACCTACTTTTAAGTAAACACAGGCTCCAGTTTTTCTCTCTGTGCTTTCTCCCCTGTGGTTTTGTTCTGGCCTCTTTCCTCTGTTTTACTTATCTCTTCTGCATATAGGAACACTGTAAGACAGGAATGGGCCCAGAGAGTGAACTGGATTTGGGGACGAGGCCAGCACATTATTCTGGTTTCTTCTATGGGTAAGTGGGAAGAGTCAGCATGCATGGCAGTATGTTTTAGGCTGCTGCCTTTTCTGTTTCACAGAATGCAATGATATTAGAGGCAGGAGGAAAAGCAAACAAGTAAAAAGAACAAGAGAAAATAAGAAAGACTGGACAATTCCTAAAGAGCAAAGCTAAAGCAATCATTCAGAGCCTGCCCTCCTTGGAGGCTTAGCTGAATACTCGGGGCTCTGGAATACTCACCTCTGGACACTGAGTCAAGTAAAAGCATAAGAGGTCTTCTATAGGAGGATTTTTAATAAATGGATGTCTTCATTAAGGGGGAAACCCTTCTGTACCTATCTCCTGGAAGTAAAATTAATTATTTGGTAGGATAGTGGCTCAAAGCTAACCTACTGTGAAGTGATAGCTACATGAACTGTATGTCAGAATTCTCACAGTACACTGCATGGGAGAGTGCAGGGTACAAACACTGAGTTTTTAGAGGAAATCACAAAATAAAGAAACAAATGCCTAAATATCAGGCACAAATATCCTAATCTGAGGTAGACACACCAAGGTGAAGCCATGCAGATGAGGAGTTCTGAGTTCTCCATGGTCTTGCTGTAACTGCCCTGCGGCCTCCATGTGGGATGCCTGTGGAGATCTGGAGCCTTCACTTTTACATCTCCAGCACCAAGTTAACCTGCATCACACCTAGGCTCACCCCGACCCTGGCTGTTTGCAAATATCTCCAAACAATGCTTCACCTCTGTACACAAGAGTTTAGAGGCCCCTAATCCACTTAATAAACCATCGGCTGACGGTTCCTAGAAGCAGGACAGCTAGGTGAAAGGATTTTACATCTCTGTTTTCCCCAAGCATCCTGGAAAGGTTGTATTAATGTTCTTTCTTGCCAGCGGTGAACAGAGGTGCACAGACCAGGCAAGATAATTTGTTCTTATATTTTGCCAAGTTTGGAGATAAGAAGCAATCTTTATATTTCCTTAACAGCTAATAAAAAATATTTCCGATTTGTCTGTTAGATATGTGAACTTCTTCATTTGTAAACTGCTTGTCTGCCAGTAAGGTCAAATTGGGTTACAGACAAACTGAGATGGCCTTTGGTGACCAAATGTTCTCATCTCCAAGGAATGTGACTGAGATATTAATATTGATAAGAGTCAGTGCTGTAAGCCGAGGGAATGGGACAACACTTGCTCTGAGCCTGAATTTGAGACTCAGACTCTGGATTCCCCCTTACATAAACAAAGCTCTAAAATGTGTTGCACAATTAGCTCTGTGCTTGCACAATTGAGAGCCTCACTGCCTACAACATCAAGAAAAGAGGCTCATTGGTTTAACCGTGAGTAAAACTCCCATCTAGGCCAAGGTGCTGTGCTATGTGTGGTCCCAGACTAAAGTTCCACATCCAAGCAGCAATCTTACAAGTTTTTTTTTTTTTTTCTTGCAAAAGAAAAGCTGAGTATTGCTTTTGAATGGATGCCAAACCATCACCTTTGCTTGAAAGGCATGTTGAGCCATATTCTAAGTAGCATCAGGACCAAAGGGTGCATGCTGGTTTTGTCCACCAGACATATTTGTTTGAAGCAATGGTCAGGGTAAACAAAACAAACAAACAAACAAACAAACAAACAGGCTGCATCTTCTCAATTGAACTTCAGCCTATAGTTTTACTAGGCCTATGTCACACCTCACTATCAGAATTGAATCCTGTCAAGCTGCCTTATGTTAAAGAGTCCCTACAGACAACACTACCCTTGCATCCTCAGAGGAGGAAGCAGAGGAGTGATCCTGCACAACAGAGCCCCATTGGTAGTGGGGTGAGTGCAGAGTTTGTAGTCACATTTAGGGTTTACTTCAGTTCACTAGAAAGACAGCTACGCTATGTTCCATTTTTTCTATTTAAAGAGAAATTAATTGGTCCTATTCCCAAACTGACTAGTGTGTAAACACTATGCTACTTATAAACAACTTTTATATATATATATAAAGCAAGGATGTCTATGTAAGCATAAACTCCGAGGTCAGATGTCTCCAAGAAGGCAGAACCATCACGTCTTGTCCCCAGTGCTAGGAAGGCTTTGGTGCCCGTGTGCTGTGGGTGCATGTGGGAAATGGATTTTCTCAGAAATAGGGTAACTCTGATCCTTCCAGTTACTTGTAAAAGCTATTTCAAGCAAATGAAAACCTCTTAACTTATAACTAAAAGCTAGAGTCTTGTGTGTGGCATTTGTAACTAAATGACTTACTGGAGAAGCCAGTACAATTACTTGGGGAGAGACTAGAAGACCATGGTGGCACAGACAAGGCCTTGGCCGAAGCAGTGACTCTGTGGCAGTCAGCTCTGGGGCAGGACAGCTGGCTCAGTGGTTAGGTAGGAGTGCTGACTGTTCTTCCAGGGGATCTGACTTTGATTCCCAGCACCCATGTCTTGAAACCACATCCAACTCCAGCTCCAGATGTTATTCCTGCTTCTGGCTTCTGCAAGCACTACATCCATGCTTGCGTGCACACGTGCGTGCATGCGCGTACACACACACACACACAAATCTTAAAAAAAAATTAAAGGTGGTATATACCTCTAATCCCAGACCTTGGGAGGCAGAGGCAGGTGGATCTATGAGTTCAAGACTAGTCTAATCTACAGAGTGAGTTACAGGACAGCTGGAGCTACATAGTGAGGCCATGTCACAAAAGAACCAAACCAAACCAAATCAACCAAAACCAAACCAAGCCAAGCCAAGCCAAGCCAAGCCAAGCCAAGCCAAACCAAACCAAACCAAACCAAACCAAACCAACTCAACCCAACCCAACCCAACCCAACCCAACCCAACCCAACCCAACCAAACCAAACAAAACAAGCTGAAACAATGAAGCAGTCGCCAGCTCTGGCTGCACCTTTTCTGGAGCACTGAGTGCATGCTACACACATGACCCTCTCAGAGAGCCTGTGCCAGGCTGCCTCTTCTTGGTACATTTGGATGTTATTATTCGTCTATTTCTTTTCTGTCTTCTGTCCTACCCTAGGTAACTGACCAGAGTAGGCCATATATTTCTAGGGTTTTAAATGGATGTTAAGTAATTAGTTTTCATGTAGGCATCCGACATTTCTGTGCTCCGCTTTCACAATGTACAAAATAAGGTAGACTGCGGACCTAAGGTAAGGCTGGACAATGGTCTATAAAGTCCTCTAGAAACAATTTCTGACTCGTGCATTCAATAGACACTTATATTAATTGATTCAGAAACTGGTAGGTTCCAGGGGGACACCAGCAAAGAGACAGAGACAAAGCTCCTGCCACTTATAGGCCAGTACACACACAGTAAACAAGTAAGTGTACACATCGAATGTGGGGTGGGGACCCTGCTCTTTGTAAACTAGAGCAAGGACAATAGGAAGCTCAGGGGCAATGGGAAGGAGGGTCAGGTGACCAAAGGTCCCTCACTGAAGCCACCTAGCAGAGAACTGAAGGGCACAGCTCCTACACGTAATTCTCAGTCAAGGTATGAGCAATCTGCAAGAGGGTGAGATCCCACGCAAAGGCCCTGTGGTAGAGGCCTGCAGGTGAGGCAAGGATCAGAGGGAAAACACCAAGCTGGGAATGTAACAGGCTACTTGGGGCTTTTCAGCCACTGGAGGGGCTTTATAAAGATGGTTATACCTTCCTGGCTGACCATCTGGTTTAAATTACAGGCTTTCAACAAAACAGTTTGTTAAAACTAATGAGACATGAACTCAGTAGATAAATGTTAGATTATAATTTAAGATGTGGTTTCTTTCTGAGTCTAACCTTTGTTTCTCTTTAGTTCACTGGAAATTCTGGGTACACATCACAGAAATGGCCATGCAGCACTTAGCAGATGTCTACAGGCTCTGTAAATGTGGTCGTGATCTGGGGGACACGGGCAGGTCACAGAAATGCTTGACAACTTCTCTCCTTTTTGAAATTTCCCAGTCCTGAAGGGGGCAGTGTCTGTACCTGTATCTCAAAGACAAAGAATGAACCCAATTAACTCATTTTAAGTTAGCTGAAGCAAATCAAGACAACAGAAGACTCATTTTTATTTTTGTATTACTGGGAGGTTAATTGAAACAGTTTCTCAAAATGTTGCTGAATTTCAGCATTTATAGATTCCGTAGACATCTAGGAAAAATAGGCACAGGGCACAGAACACTAGTCCAGAAAGCAGAGCTGCTGAGGTAGAGGTCGGGCTCTAGGCCAGCCTGTCTCATTCTCTGCTTGGGAAGGTAATCCTCAATTCCTTTGGGTATGTGTGTCTTCACTCTGTAGTTTCTTATGGTCATTAGTGAGCTTAGGAAGTTTTGCCTGCAGAGACCCCAACAGCATTCTCTGCACCTACGTTGTGAGTGTGCATGAATGTGAGTGTGTGAATGGGTGTGTGACTGTGTATGTGTGAGGGTGAGTGAATGTGTGTTTTCTCAGATGATGCAATGAGGTAAGAGCCATACCCAATCTGTGTGAATACACAGCTTGGGCTGAGCTCAGAGCATTTCTGTCTCTGTTCTAACTGTCTCTAGGTCCAGGCCTGGAAGCTTCTAGCCTCCATACAACCTAATCTTCCAAGTTGACTGACTCAATCTAGTTTCTCTCGGCTCTCACTCAATTTCTCTGCTTGGCCTCATACTAACTTTGGCAATACATTCTAATCTGTCTGGCTCCTTCTTACTCTCTGTTTTCACCTGTGTCTAGCCTGCTCTGTCACCTGTCTTTGTAAGATGGTCTGGTTAACACTGCCACATCTTCTCTCTGTGCTTCCCCTACCTGTCAAATCTTTTCTCTGATTCATCAGTTTGTCTGCCACTCAACTTAGACATCACTTTCAAACATGGGTGCTTCCTTCTACAAACTAATCATACCTTTACTGTTAGGGATTAAAGGTGTATACTGTGTGTCTGTAGTCCAGAAAGATCATACTGTAATCCAGAGTGTGTCTGCAATCCAGTCAGATTACATAGTCCTAGAAAGTCTATGAATGTGATCCTTTGCTAAAGAAGTCATGTTGTTGTTGTTGTTGTTCTGAGACTGGGTCTTCATGCTACTCTGGCCTTTTACTCTCAATCCTCTTGCCTCAGTTTCCCAAGTGCTAGAATTTGAGGCATATGTGCCACCATTCCCAGCTTGCATATAAGTTTGGAGGAAGAGCAGAGGGCAGTGTTACATAGCAGGAACAGCTCAGACTCATTTTTTTTTTTTTAAAGAAACCTGAATGATCTCTTCAAGCCCCTGAATTTACATGGGGATGAACTTTTGACTTAAATTTTAGAACTGAGAAAGGATGTCACCACAAAAGGCTGCATGTATAGCCTCCAGGGACCTCCCAGGGCCACTTTTACCTTGGCATTCACCAGGTTTTGGAGGTCCAAGGTGGTCTAGTCAGGGTCTCAGAACTGTTAGGACTCAGAGAAAATAACCAGGCTAAATGAAGTTCCTGGAAGCTCACGTATACAAACCGGTCGCAATGATTTCCCTCAAGAACAGCAAAAGCCTGCAGGACCTGAGGCTCCTCTCTCTGCCCAGCATGCTCCTGCCCCACAGCAGGGCATCATCACAGCCAGGCAGTCGGATACTCTAAAGCCACTGGCAGACGTGCTGAGATGGGGAGTGCAATGCACAATGCAGTCCCTCCAACTCTTAGGCAATAACGCTCTAGTTCCAGTTCAGTGAATACATGTGGCATGGCTTACACACGTGACTCCCACTTCATTAGGACAGAGATATGACAAGTAATAGAGTGATATTAAGTCTTGGTATCTGTGCCTCTTTGGACTGTCCAAGGAAGGAATATCAAACCTGCAGCCTGTGGGCTACATGTGTCTTAGGATAACGTGACCCAATATATTTGGAGATAAACACCACTTATACTACAATGTCTCCTGATATGAGAGAGGGAACTGATGGGATCCACTCATGCATTTGCTGAGGCCCAGAGGTGGGTGGGGTCGGACCAAAACTGGGAAGCACAGTAACAGCATTATAGACAAGAAGCAGCTACTGCTCAAGGATATGTGGGTTGTCACTGTAGTGCCAGGCACCTCAAAGTGCTGATAAATCTTTAAGTGACTCATTCACAAGGTGCCACTGCTTTATTTTATAGGTGACAAGACAGTCAGAAGGGTTAGGTCACCAGCTGAGGCTTCTGGGTGGTAACCTAGCTAGGAGTTAATCTCAGGCCTCCCTTGCCACAGACAACTCCTGCACCCAGGATGCAGCCTCTCAGCTATAGGCAGAGTCATTTCACATACAAATATCCAAACTAAATAGTGTTTGAAAAAAATTAAGCTCACAAATAATCTTCAAATCTAAAGCATCTATGTGAGGACCAGATAGCCTCAAGCTCCCTGAAATGTCCTTAATTTTGGGCAACTTTGAAAGGATGGGCTGATATGAATAGTAAAGGCAACAGCAGCATGAAGGCTACTGATTCCTTATCTTTGCTAATGCAGGAAACAACATCCTGAGTCTCAAGGCTGGAGAACGGAACCCAGACTCTCATCTTCCTTACATCTCCCTGGTACAGCTCTCAAACACGGCAGATTCTTGGTAGTTCCTGACCAAGTCTACTGGCTGCTCTTCTCATCAAAGTAGTGAATCATGTAGGAGACCAACTTAGAATGGTGCATCTTCATGAACCATGTAACCTGTAATCTGTTCTGTAATTCTATCACAGAGTGCTTGGAGAAACTCTTAAAAGCAAAGTCTAAGAAACTGCTGGCTCAGTGAATTGGATGTCATAATGTGGTTAATAAAGAATCCAGTGGAAAGAACCAGTGCTGAGTTGCTCTGACACACAGTGCTTAGCAATGTGGTTTCATGTCCTTGCAAGTTTGTAACATTTAATTCCCAATTCTTTGGTTTATAATCTGCACTTTAGTTTGACTGCCCCTTAGGGCGACAGACAAGAATTTCTTCTATCTTCTTGACGAAGATTAAAGAAATATCACTTTGTTTCTTAGCAGATTTAAAGTCACAGTACCTGTCTTTACATCTCTGCCCGTATTACAAGGAATACCAGGATAACTGAATGAGTTAACACACTAAGCAATGTACATTCTGGGAGCTCTATGACATGAGCTACAGTAACTGACGAGATTATTACTAAATTACTGCATGAAGCCTGGCAGGCTAGAAAAGTAACCTATTCCTCTTCCTAAAGATTTAAATCTATACTTTAAAACACAATTATTAAACAGAGCCATGAAACACTCTCATCCAAAAAAAGGGATCCAATAAGAAATGGATTTTTAAATATTCTTCCTGGAATGAGAAGAATCATAGCATCGTAAGATTAGACAAATCTAAAGGCTCCAGATACAGAAGGTATTAAAACAAAACAAAACAAAAACAAAAAAAAACCAAGCAAAGCAAATAACTGGTCCAACACAACTTTATAAGACTTTCAAAAATCTATGCAAATGAGAGAAACTTTACTCAGCCATAGGTAATGTCTGAAAATGTCTCTTTCACACTCGCTTTATTCCTCCATTGATTCTTTTTAGTATATTTTTATTTAATGCATATGAGTAGTTTTGCCTGCATGTATGCATGTGCACTGTTTGGGTGCCTGGTACAGGTGGAGAGGCCACAAGGTGGCACTGGATCCCCTGAAACTGGAGTTACATACAGATGGTTGTGAGCTATCATTTGGGTGCTGAGACCAGAAGCCAGGTCCTTTGGAAGATCAGCTAGTGCTCTTAAACTGATGAGCCATCTATCCAGCCCCCCTCCAGTGAGTCTTCTCAGCTTGGCATGCATTTCTTGAGGATCTTCTTTGCAGTAATTACTAGGTACCACAGGAGAAAAGAAGATAAAAAGACACACCTTTAAGACAAAGATTACAACCTAACAGAAAAGACTGACATAAGCACACATTTAATTACAGTACAATAAGGGCCAGAAGGAAGATTGGCAATAAAACCAGCCACAACTGGGGTCGGAGGAAGGCTTTAGGAAGAGGGAAGAGCAAAGGCTGGGAGGGATTCAAGGCTCACAGAGGCTCCACCTTGCTCACATGAGGCAACTGAAAGACAGACAGACAAACAAACAAGAAAAGCACCACAAAGAAAGGTGTCTGTTCTTGTTGTTAATTTAAGTAGCTGAACATGAAGATGACAACTCCTGGGATGGGGAGAAGGTGAGGAGGGAGGAAGAAGGGTACAGATGAAATGAGACTGGTCACTAGGGACTGGTCACTAGGGACTGATCACTAGGGAATGTTCAGACTGTAGAAGCCAGATCACCCTCTTCTCCATGTCCCTGTGTGCCCCTAATTTCTTATTAAAATAGTTCAAAATGAGACATCAAACAGAAAACCAGAGATAGACGGGGTGGGGGTGGGGAAGCACCCAAAGGGGGAGGGAGGCACCCAAAGGATCCAGGAAGATGGTCAGCTGATGGCACTAACCCTATAAGGAACCTTCTAAGCTCCCAATCAAGTGGACAAAGGGTCACAGCTGACTCCAGGGGGGAAGTCGGCCCAGCACAGCTGACTCCAGAGGCCAGTGCATCTGTTTTTAGTTCCCCATGTCTTGTTCTCTCCTCTCTTCTCTCCACTGGGAAAAAGACCTGCAAGGCTGTGCTGCCTGGTGGTAACTCAGGGTAAGAATGGAGCAACTGTTTCCTCCGCTAATTACTTGTAAAACAACTGCAACTGCAGTGATTAGCTTTTATCACAAGCAAATTTAGAATGTATTTTTGCTGCAAAGCTCTAAGAAGCAAGGTTGAGGAAAATCCAAAACCCACATTAACCCCATCACAAGAAATCCACTCATTACTGTGATAAACCCAGTTTATTCATCCAGGTGAACACACACACACACACACACACACACACGTACATAACCATGAGCATACACTCTTTCCTCAAAAACAGAGATCACAGGAAAATACTCATTTTAGACTTTTTATCTTAAAAACTATATACCAGATCTTTGTAATACATGTGCAATGGTTTGCACAAGGGCCCATCAACAAACATTTTGCTTTTAGAACTTTTAACCTCTGGTAAGAATTTAAGTCAAACAGTAGAAATATATACTGAAGTTTTGACTTGAGAGGGTTTGCTCTGAATATTTCGAGTTAATATATACTAGTATTACACATACTCATTCTGAAATGTGCCATGACAATGTCACTTGCTGTGGTGGTTTGAAGAAGAATGCCCTCCACGGTCTCATATATTTGGATGCTTGGTCATCAGGGAGTCACACTACTTGAGAAGGATTAGGAGGTATTGCCTCGTTGGAGGAAGTGGGGGTGGGTGGGCTTTGAGCTTCTCCTCTTCTTGCTGTCTGAGGATCTGCATGTAGATCAAGCACCATGCCTGCCTTCATGCCACCGCATTCCTGGTTATGATAACAAGGGACTAAACCTCTGAAACTGAGCAAGCCCCAATTAAATGCTTCCTTTTCTAAGAGTTGCCATGGTCATGATGTCTCGTCACAGCAACAGAACACTAAGACACTTACTTTATTTAGGGGGTGTGATGTAGGAGCATTCTTACCAAAAAATCACCCCATCTCCCTTTAAAGGCATAGGCTGCAAAAAAAGATTTACTTTTTTGCTTTAAGTTGCGAAACAACACATGAATCTGACAGGACAGATGATGTTCTTATATTACAAACACTAGGAAGGCTCCTGACTTGGTTTCACCCTACTCTCCTTCTCAGAAATAGCAACTGTTAATAGTTTAGTGTTTGTTTTCCATTTCTGAGGCTACTTTAAATTCCTGGGTGTGAGATCACATAGGAATACAACTGACATATGTAAACAGGTAACAAATATGCACATACCTACAGTATGTGTAAAACATGTATCTATAACACATACAATAAATATTATACACATATATAAGGAAGATTTGTCCCTGCCCCTGAAGTTAGGATGGCTGTTAGAGACGCTGCCCTTTGGTGCCTACAGTTAAAGTTTACACTACATTAGAAGGCAGGTCCATCTATCCCAGTATAAATGTGAGATGGCTCCAGAGGCTGGGAATAAGGATTCCCACTCACTGAGCATGCCATGGAGTCCTTCTGTGAACAGCCTACTTTGCATTCCTCTATGATTGACTCTAAGTCCTCTGTAGCTTCAACTTCCACACACATCCATCTTGGAGATTCTAGACCCAGAATTCCTGAAGAATCTCCTTTTTCTACACAGAAGATATTTTTGAAACAGGGTTCCCCTTTATATTCTAGTATAAGGGTTTGTAAACTATGGCCCAGTACCTGTTTTGTAAATAAAGTTTTATTTGAACACAGATATGCTCTTCTACTTATATATTGCCATGGCTTCTTTCATACAGTAGCAGCAATAGAACTGTAAGGTTGTGGTTTTTGCTGTCTTGTTTATCTCACACACACAAAAAATGTTAATCAATATTAGTATATTTTAAATATAGCCTCCCCCACCCCATCTATCAAAAAATTTGAAAGACTTGAATAAAACACCCCATACCTAGTACCTAGGCCAAGGGGTCTGGTTTTGCTCCCCACCACCAAAAAAAAAAAAAAAAAGAAAAAAGAAAAAGAAAGAAAAGAAAGAAGAAAAGAGAAAAGAAACCAAACAAATTAAATGCACCTTGGCTCCAACAACAGCAGCAGTGTGCTGGTAAATGTTGAGCAATTTGTTCCCGGGTAGAAAAAGCTCATACATATATGGAGTGCTGGATGATTTCCATGGTGTAAATAGTCCCATTATGGCCTATTTCAAGCTACAGAAATGTAACACCGCTGAACCCAGAGTTGAGAAGAAATACGCACAAGCACTAGCTTAAATCTCTCTCAGGAAACCATGGGTGCTTGAGACACCTACAACAACAGCCTAGTTGTAAAGTCAGAGACACTACTAAGGTTCTGAGAGACCAAGTAACCTCCACGAGGCTAGGCCAAGAACAGACACAGGTTGGAAGGGATTTTCCAATCCAGACTCTAGCTACCTCATGAAGAAGTGTCCCCTCCTAGAAGACAGAAGACTGGCAGAAACAAGACAATGTTGTTTGTCAGGCACATGGGAATAAATACCATTTATTTTAATTGTCATTGTCACATGTAGGCCTCTGGTTTCCTTTCCATGTACTTTTGATGCACACTTTACTAGCAGGTATTGCTTTCTTACATGACCCTGTTTCACGTACGCGTAGAAACAGGAAATGATCTCAACTGAACGTTACCTATGCTCTTGATTGTAAATTCCAGACAGGCCCTTTGTCTTTTAAAATCATTAATTTCCCAAGGTCCAGAAGAGTTAGGGTGAGATAAATATCTACTCAGAGGATGAAAAGGGAGGCTCCAGCATCAATGTGAAGTCTCATACCAGAACACCAGTGCTCAGAGTTTAGATGCCAGTCCCCCTCTCCCCAGCTGTGGGAGCAAGAGCACGTGCACAGATCATTTCTAATGTATCATCCAAAGTGCCTAAGCTGCTCAAGCAGAACACAATAGCCTCTTTGGGTAGAGAATAAAGAAATTTGTTTGCTCTTAGATATATATTTTTGATAATATGTATATAACTTCTATCTCAAGTTTGTATAGATAGCATCAAACAAAGGAAAAAAAAATCTAATGCAGGATTCCATCTATCACACACTGACAGACTGGGCAATTGCTTTCTATTGGCAGAAGGAGGACTACACACAGTGCTCACCAGGAATGTGGAGGTGACAGAATTCAGAGACTAGGACAAGTATTTCAACAAATCCAAGGCTAGAAACAACAAACAGAGCTGAACATAGGGGAAAGAAGGCAAAAACATGCTACCTGATACTTTAAAGATGACCTCTCAACTACTTGGTAATCCTACAGCAACCCCTACACATTTGGCACGGTCTGCTCATACATACCTCCCGGAAACCACCGGTCTGGTTTGCTACATCAATGCAGCAACCCGATGCTTGCATGGAAATGGATGGTTTACATAAAAACAACCAAGGCACACATGAATGTCGCTGAGTTTGCAGAAGCCCAGGGTCACCACCAGCTGTGGGGATCTCCGTACTCAGTTCTAAAGTGAGGTCCAGAGTGCTCCTGAGTATCAGAGGTTAACTCGCTCCACGGTGCTGGGTGGAAGAACCATAAACAAAGTGGCAAACCCAGTGAACTATGCCTCCTAAGCACTGGCTACTTCAGTGGTTCTAAAGTATGCTGCAGAGAAACACCGGTGCAGGTATTAGGGCAGTCAAAACCACCTCTAAACAATACAATGTTACACTTTCACGAATATACTTAAAGTCTTAGGAAGCTACATGAGATGTCTTACAGCAACCGGCTGAGTGTCTTCTAAGCAGAGATTTGCAGAAAGGTTAAGCAATAACAGTGTTTTGGAAAATACAAGATTTTTTAAAAAAATGTTATGTTAAATTGGTCTATTCTGAATTATTCAGTAAATTAAGTGTCTCTACGTTGTATTTATACGCGGCAAAAATCTATAGGTAAAATCCATATAACAAAGGTTCTTTAGGCGCGCAGCAGGTCCTAAATCCAAAAGTTCGGCAACTTCTGCTTGGAGGCTGTCATGCTTGCTGCAGGGAGATGTGCGGTGCTAGTGCTCTGGTCTGGCCGAGTAGTACAGTCCCGTTCTCCTTGGGTTCCTTAATAAATCACCTTGGACTCTATGCCCAACCCTTCCACTGAGAGATCTCTCAACCTCATCCCACCTGCCTTGGCCCCGTGTTGGGGACTCCAATCTGCGGGGCACAATTGCTCTTTTCTATCCTGTGGGCCGGGCCTGGCAGACTGACACCCGGACGGTGCGGCCCTCACACCAAGGCGAGAACTCCCGGGGCGCCGAGTAGAGCCACTCCCAATCTAAAGCGACGCAGGCTGGGAAACAAGCGGAGAGGTCACCCCATGAGCCAGCTCCACCTCCTCTCCCCAGCTCGCCCCGTGTCCCCGGCTCTGCACCGTGGGAAAGGACTGCACGGACGCCCCGGGGCCGCGTGGTACTCACCGCTCACAGTGGGGCTCCACGAGCACACAGGCGGGTGCTACCAAGGACCCAGGCCGACTCCGCGCTCCTCCCACTGAGCGGTCCTCCGGACGCTCGGGCAGCGAGGCGGGACCCGTGGGAGAGGGGGCCGGAACCAGCTGCTGCAGGAGAGGGGCGGGGCCTAGGCCTCACTACGCCCCCCGAGGGGCGGAGCCTGGGCACCTCCTCCCTTCTGAAGCTGCAGGCTATGGCTGAAGCTGGCAGTCTGATCGGGGTACGCCCTCCCTTCGGAACCTTCCGATCTTGGGAGACGGGCGGAGTCTAGGGCCTATTACGCCCCAAGGCCCAGATCTGACTTGAGGTTGCGGCCAAGGGGCAGAGCTTGGGAACACCTCTTTTTTCCAGAGCCTGAAGGCAGGCCATACCGAGGGACGAATCCCAGGTCTCCTACATGGCCAACCTAGAGGTCTTACGTTGTGGGGGTGGGCACCGTCCCACCCCTAGATCCAGAAAATTTTGGCCACGGGCGGGGGCGTGGTCTAGGACGAGCTCCACCGCTCTGTGTGCCGCCCAGGCCCGAAGGCCCGATGCTGAAGGCCATTGATCTTCGTGGCCCCACCCCATAGGCGGGAGAAACTGAGCCCCTGCATCTGGCTTTGTTAGTGGCTCAGCCCCAGGAAGTGTAGAGCGGATTTTTAGGCTTTTCCTCTTCAGGAGCATGGGGAAGGCTGACTGTCGCTCAGAAGGGGCAGAGTGTGGTATATAACTGCCTGACTAGCGCAGGGAGCCAGAAAAAGAAAGGAATTAGTTAGGATTTCTGTTGCTGCGATGCCATGACCAAAAAGCAAGCTGAGGAGCAAAGTGTTTATCTGGCTTACACTTCGAATTCATTGGAGGAAGTCAGGACAGGACCACAAGCAGGGCTGGAACCTAGAAGTAGGAGCTGATGCAGAGGCCATGGGGGCTACTGCTTAATGCCTTGCTTCCCGTGCCTTGCTCAGCCTGCTTACTTATAGAACTCAGAGCTACCAGCCTAGGGATGGCACCGCTTGCTCACCTTGGGCTGGGCCCTCCTCCATTGATCACTAATTGAGAAAATACCTTACAGCTGTATCTCATGGTGGCATTTTCTCAACTGAGGCTCCTTCCTCTCTGATGACTAATTTGTGTCAAGTTGACACACAAAACCAGCCTGTACAGTACCCTTTCTCCACCTTTCTTTTAAATGCTCGGCGGTAAGTACAGGCGTCATTTTCCGAGTGCCTCAGTACGCACCAAAATCAGTCATTTTCCTCCATCAGTGTCCCCAGCTCTTCCACCTTGCCCTTCGCTTCACTTCCAGTTGTTGTTTTGCTTTAGATTTCTTCGTGAGGTTTCAGTTGTTTTGGGTTTGGTTTTGAGACAGATATTCATGGGCCCCAGGCTGGCTTAGAGCTAGCTCCTTGTTTGCTAGAACTCCCCGACCTTGGACTTCCTACAACTATCTTTAAAGTGCTGGGATTGCATATGTGCCCCACCATGCCCAGCTCTTTTTTTTTTTTTTTTTTTTTTTTTTGGTTTTTGAGACAGGGTTTCTCTGTGTAGCTAGCCTTGGCTGTCCTGGAATTCACTCTGTAAACCAGACTGGCCTCGAACTCAGAAATCCACCTGCCTCTGCCTCTCAAGTGCTGGGATTAAAGGGGTGCACCACTATTAAAGGGGTGCCTGGCTCATGCCCAGCTCTTTTAAAAAGTCAGTTTCTCTGGCTTTACTTGCACAAAGCATGGGACGTGGACATCAGGAACACACTCGAAAAACAGGGCCTCAACATTTCTGTAGCTTACACAGAATGCAAAATTTCTATGTATAAAACTTGTTTTTAGCCCACAACAAGCCATTATAGCACATGCTGTCCACCGATCTAAAGTCTGAGCTGTGAGACTGAGTGGGAGTTCCGTACATGCTTAGCAGTTCGGCCTCTCAAGTCAATGTGAATTCAGAGGTATGATTAGCTTTAGATGAAAGGCTTTAAGGTTTTGATGCCTAAATTGTTTGGAAATTCAGTGTAGGTTTCTACATTGAGTTAACTTGAATGAGCATCATATAGGGAGAACGACTAGTAACTAGCATGTCAAACACCATGACTAGCCATGGGGGTTTGGTTGCTCCCTTAATGTTGAAGCCCCTGAGTTCCGGTGACTGATGGGCTGGACTTCAGTTCCAAGCTGTCAAAGGCTAAAGCTTATTATCCCAGGTACTCAGGGCAGAGGCTTACTGCTCTTGCTTATGCTCTGCAGCAGGTAGAATTATAACTCCTGATCAGGTTGTCAGGACTCTTGCCATCAAAGAGACCAAGCTTTACAGTCTCTACTTTTTGTTCTTCAGAGCCCCCGTCTGTCTCTATACTTTCGTTGTTCCTATACATTTTCATATTGCATTTTCTGTCCTGGACACCCTTTAACCACTTTTTAGTGTTATAGCTCAGAGCTCTTGAAGGGCTCAGGAACTCTTAGCTGCCTCCTGTGTTGTTGTTCCCAGCTTTGGCCGTTGAAGTCTCTTACATCTTGATGACTCTGGAACTCTTCAGCTACCTCTTCCACTGCCAATGCCAGTGCTGCTGTCTCTGCCATCAGATACAGAAGCCGCATCTTCACTCCATACAACCTGCTGAGCTTGATAAAGACTGTAGGCAAAGAGATTATTAGGGCCAGGTTCTGTACTAGGCCTAATATTGCAATCCCAGAAGAAGTCTCCCAGACTAACAAGACAATTTGGGCAAACAGTCTATGACATGCTTGTGGATGGACTGTAATTCCACCAATCACAGCCCCATATGTGCATAGTTCTACCAATCACAAGTGAGGCATAAACAAAATGACAAGCTTCACTTAAGAACCAATCACAAGCCCCACATTGCACCAATCATAGTTTATTTTTCTTCCTGAGTTAGTAGAGAGTTATTCCCTTCTCTGGTCTGGAGGAAGACTGACTTCCCAGCGAGCAGGCTCATATAGAATTTACTAGCTCTGTCTTATGGAGAGCAGAGTCTTCCAAAGCCAGTGCAGTTTCCTGAAGAGGTCATAATTGGAGCAGGGGCTCCTGGATCAAAGGTTTTAGCTTCAACAGCAGCCAGTAGGTGCAGTGCTCCTTGTTTCTGTGAAATAGCTAACTTCTGAGGCCAGTCTTGCATTTTGGAAGGAAATTTCTTAAGATATAAGCTATAAAGGAGACGTCAAACAGCAGGATGTTTCAAGACAGGCTATTTATAGGGAGATGAAACACTCCATCCTGCAGGGAAGCTTCTTAAAACAGTAAGTAAATGACTCAAAATAGCTTCAGGAAGTCCCTAAAACTGACCAGAATCACTCCCTGCTTCAAGAGTATATAAGCAGTAAGAATTGTTCAGAGTCACTCTCAGACAAGCTAAGCTGCCTGGAAGAAGCAAAGATCAGCAGAGGTGCCTGGAAGAAATTCAGACCAACTATGCTACCTAGAAAAAAACACTCTCCAAAATACTGAATTGCTTGTGGGATGTGCATTGTGTTCCAGATTTTTAGTTTTTGTGAACTGTCATCCACGCTAGGGTGGGCTTGGTGATACAGATGTCTGTGAGTAATTTCTTCTATCAGTAACCCCTCACACATATTTCTGTAAGTAACACAAAACTCATTGGTTTGATAGGTTGGACTTTGACAGTGTCTGTACTTTGGTCTCTGATCAGTTTCCTGTCTGGGATGAGTAGACATTATTTCATATCTCTCTAGGATTGGTGTCTCAGCATTTCCCCCAGGGCATCTATGGTGCATTTAAAGCAACCACAATGCCCTGATGTCAATCTGCCAGTTGCCAAGAAAAGCTGCTTGGTAGATAAGGAGCTGCTTGGTAGATAAAGCCTCACTCAAGGAAGCAGGGTACAAAGAACACGTTTGGCAGTTGTCGATCTCTGGCACCCAATAGCTTAGCTTACTAGGAGGGAAAGTGAGCATTTGAAATGTGCTTGAAATAACGTCTTATCATCTGTGCTTAATTGTGCTTAATCTCTAGCCAGATGTCAATGGGGGGACCCGGCGGGGGGTGGGGGGGAGTTGGTCCTTCTCATCTGTCTGATCAGTCTATACAGTAATGCTCTCACCATGTACTACTCCCACTAGAAGTAGAAGCCCATGGTTGAACTTTTACATGTCACTCAATTCAGCTCCTCCAACCACCACTGAAGAACTGGCCAGTATGAAGTGTGACACAGTGGATTTAGACCTCAGTATATCTGACTCTCGTGTTTCTGTTTATGCCTTGCCCATCATGTACATAATGTTACCCTGTCGTATGCTTCATTTTGAAGAGGAGGTATAATCTCTGTATTCCAAGAGAAGAGGAGACTTTCTACTTTCTACCCACTTCTCAAATTCCATTCACATTCAGTGAACAATATTTTTTCTTGGACGCCCACATATGTTAGATGATGCTCACCACAAAACCTGAAGGGCAGTAACTTTAGCATCCCCCGGGTATTAAGGTGAGAGTCTGTGGGAGGTTGAGAGTAGTCAAACTGACTTTGACTTGTTCTGAGGTAGGCCTACCTAAGGTTCAGTGACAACATGGATATAACTGATAACCAGTGAAGAAAACGATTCAATCACAGATGTGAAGAGAAAGGAGACAGCTAAGGATGCTTGGCAACATCTGGGAGGCTCCTATGCCCTTCTTCTCAGCTGCTCTTTGCCATGCCATTAATGGCATGGTATTTGGGAACATAGTGGCCTCTCTTCCATTGCCGTCCTTGCTACCTCTCTGTGTTATTTAACTGTGGTGATTAATCTTAGAAATTTTAATCTCATATTGGCTTTTCCAACTCTGTGCTTTCATGATTCATGTCTTCATTTTTGGATCCTCTGTTTGAGGCCCATCCAAGATACTCTTGTGCATCTTGTGTCTTGTATTACTCTGTAAGGTGATAAGTTTTCCTTTATTACTATGCAAACTCCCTGCCACTCCAAGCTGAAGCCTGCTATGTCGCCACCATCTTAAATGTATTATCAAAAGTAAATTTCGGTCCCCATACAGGGTAGAATCCCTTATTCATTTATGTAACTTAACCTTCTTCTGATTGCCACACTCTATTTTTAGTTGTGCGGAGCATCATCGGATGTTCTCAAGGCAGTTGTCAGT